TACAGTTTTACTTATCATAAGTATATCCGGTTTCACTAATAACCTTTGGAGCCATAAACAGATATATTGACATAAACATTTCAATGAATCATACAGTATTAATATAAACAGTACAAAAGATATCAGGTATAATGAAAGATCATGTTTATATGTGCTTTATATGTTTAATTATCCAATATGCATTTACACATGCTTATTTCTTATTATGTATGTGCTAATGGTTTTCTTTATATGTTTGAGATATCTACTAGAAGCTTATAATTTGGCTCAGCGAGTTACCTGTTTAACTGCAGGTTGAGATTGGACCGTACGAGAAGTCAGCTTACAACTGCTGCAGTTCATCTGTAGAAGACTCAGTCTTCAGGGTAGCTAATCATTCTTAAATGTGTATCTTTTGTCTTAGCCTTTTCCAATGGGCAATGTTACAGGGCACAATTACCGTTGGGACTCAATTTTCATTTTGTAAACTAAGTAACATGTCTTGTAAATATAAAATTAACATTTTTCATGGCATGTACAGGGCACACCGTTGGGCCCATTTCATTTTGTAAACTAGTAACATGTCTTGTAAATATAAATTACATTATTATTGTAAACAACACCAGCATGCTATTATATTCAATATACATTATGATTTCAGCATGTCAGGCCATATAGTCAACCAGTTTGTAGCATCTCGGTTCGGTTCATTCGGGTTTACGGGTGGACCGGGAAGGGATGTTACATTTTATCTCTCTTTTTAATTTCTCTTTTGATCAATGTGTTTGTGTATGTATACAAATACATATACTTTATAATTTATAATTACCATTTATCTAAAATTCACTTTAGTTTACATACAAAGTTGTAATATCACATAATAAATACGTTTTAGTTAATATAAAAGTTATGTACATGTAAAAGTTTTAGTTAAATATTAAACATGTAATTAACAGTTAATAGTAAATTCACTTCCTATCTAAAAATACAATTTAAAAAAGTAAAAAAAATTATATACATAAATAATTATATATATATATTAAATTATAGATTTCAATCTTGACCAAAGGAAAAAAAATATAAAGAATATAGTATGAAAGGCACATTTTAATAGATTAACAATTATCTACAAATGTATATTAATTAATTAACTATAACATAACAGGTAAATGAATCTTTTAAGTGTGAAAGCTTTTGCATCTTCTTCTCCTTCTACTAAATTCTTTTAAAACTTCATTTTAGTTTATAACAATTTATTAATAACTCTCTCATTTCTCTATTTTCTCTCACTCTTTTAACCTTAATTTTAGTTTGAGGTTGTTGTTGTTTATCAGTGATAGTCTCTATCTTCTACTCTTTTTTTTTTGTTTCACGTTTTTTTGCTTTTAATCTTTTATTCACTTTAATAAACTCAGATATATTTTTTCCTATAATATATCTATCTTTTTTTTATTATTGTTGTTTTGTTTCCATAGTAATTTTTTTTTTAATCTCTTCTTTATGCATTCTTTGTGAGGATGGTCTCTTCTTTGCGAGAGTTTAATACTACATAAAAATATGAATTTTTTTTTAAGCAAACGTAAGGCTTGCATTATATGTCATGAAACAGTAACAAGCAATGTGGAATTCCACACTTAGAAATGAGCATGAAGATAGGAGATTCTAGCTAAAATATGAATTCTTATCTCTCCTAATCCACCGAATAGAAATATTAGGCCCAGCTACTAACATGTCCTTACAATCTTTGATAATCAAAATAAATTCAAAAAAATCATCTACTCTGGAGTTTAAAGCATAAATAACATGCTGGCAGTCCATAAAAATACATCCATAAAAAATTGGACTAAAAGAAAATTGTGAGCTACACGTAGCTCTTTTCTTCAAATAATATTCACTAAATTGTTGATAACTTTGTAATTGAGAGGATTCAGACCGAGTAAGCATGACTACGGTTTCAGAACCGTTGGTTTCGATTTCAAAACCACCGGTTTTGGTTATAAAAAAGGTAGAAGTGCAATCGAATAGCTTTTAGATGATTTTAGAATCGTCGGTTTCAGTTTTTTTCCAGTTTCGAACCTAAATTAAATAATATATTTTAAATTTTTTAAAATATTTTTTTAAAGATTTATAGCTTGAATAAATAAAATAATAAATATTACTGTTGAAAAAAATTAAATCAATTTAATTAAAATCTTAAAAATTACTTTAAAAAACTATAATAAAACAAAAAATAAGTTGAGAGTTCCTTTAAAAATATGTTTTTCACGATTTCAAATCGGAACTACCGGTATTAATTTCAGAAAATAAAGAATCGGAACCGAATCTTAAGTTCACTGTTTCGGTTACACTTTTAGAACCAAACCATTGACCACAGTTTAGTGCCAATTTTGATAAGTTCAATTTCGGTTCAATTTTGGTTTGAAACTGAACCGTGGTAATCCTTAGAACCGAGACCTCCACTTTTTCCACGTCTTTTAATCTTTACATAATAAGATCCGAATGCTAACAAGATTACATCTGATTGACACATGTGGATATCTTTTCCTGACTTAAGTATGGGTTAATGGATGCCTAATGAATTTTTCTTTTTCTATAAAAGTTGGTTTGAATCATTTATCATGGTTTTTCTTTTGCAAAATTTTCATGACTTTCGCATGTTAAAAAAAAAAAAGCAAGCAAATTCTAAATGATCAAAATCACAAATTTTGTATTTTATCATCTTATTTCAATTATATAAATTAGTCTATGTGTTATATAATATTTCAATGAATTAAGAATTTTTCGAATTAAGAATTTTTCAAATTAAGTATTGCATTGACCTTTTAGATAGTTAATTTAAAATTTGTTGAGATATTTGAGGAAAATTAAATTATTATAAGTATCAAATACAGTTGAACAAAGTCAACAAGTATATATTTTGTTAGAGTAGTTTTACATAGGCAGTTAGTTTTGATAACGTTGATGGTTTTTCCTTTCATTTTATTTTATGGATAAAATTTATTTATGCCTAGTATATGGAGCTAATTTAATCTTATTTTATAAGTTAATTATAATAATAAGCTAATTTAAGTGTCCCTAATATGTCAATGGGGTCACTCTCTTTGATAATAATCTACTTGAAGAAAGACTCCAAGCTGAAAGCCAATCCAAATAATCTCAAAGTCTATAATGCACAATCAGTGAAGAAGCATAGTGCCAAAGAGTTGAAAGAATTGATTCATACAATACTTATTAGACTTGAAAATAATTTTACTCCATCGAGGAGGAGCTAAATTTCTTGAAGAGAATGCATGTGCTCATGAAGGCATTGATAAGATCAATTAATTTTATGTTTTATATTTTTGTTTGGTTTAATTTGTCGCTCAATTTTTCTAAAAATACTATATAATTTTTTCTAATTGCATGGTGTATGTGATGTATATACTTGACGCACATAAACAGAATAATTCATTTGAATTGTCAATAATAAATTGTGATTTATTTGTCAATATATCTAAATTTATTATTTTATTTCATGAATTTTTTTTTTTATTTTATGGACACTCTTAGATTTTTAGTAATGTAAAATTTTTATGATATTATAATTTATAATAAAGAATTAATAAAATTTATATATAAAACAAATAAATATCAACGGTTACAAATAATATGCAATATACGTTAGAGAAAATTAGTATATATATATACACACATGGTGTTCTAGGGAAGAAAAATTAAAACCATGATTCACATTATCTCCCAAAGTTGATGGCTTTTGTTTTTGATTTCTCAGTACAAGTTTCTTGCTGTAATTAATTTTCAACTATTCTAGGAAAGCTGCAATTCTAGTTGCTAATTGAAAAGGTTTTTTTTTTTTTTTTTTTTAAAAAAAAATCTAGTTGCGGTAATTTGAAAAGGTTTTTTTTTTTTTTTTTTTTAAAAAAAAAGAAACAAGAGTAAAGTTTAAGAATTTAATGGACTAATCAAATGAAATTACCAATAATGAGTCCAAAATTCTAGTTAAAAAACATTGAGCATCTTTTTGTGTCTTTTAAAAAATGTTTTATAAAAGAAAAATCAGATAGCTCAAGGTGCACAAGTAGTTGTTTCTTCTAGTCATTGTCTATTCAACTATTGAAGAAAGCAAACAAAACATAGGCAATCATTATTAATCTTTTGATCTTTTCTTTTCCTTCTTATACACAAGCAAATGTGAATTTTCTTCTTTTTTTTTTTTTTTTAAAAAAAAAAAAAAAAACCCTTAAAAAAGCTTTTGTCCACTTTAACCCAACAAAACATGAAGAAACCCATTTGGTGATTTTCATTTACATTTACCAATCAAAAATAATCAACAATTTGGAAACATATATAGTACAATGGCAACCATCATAAGGCACTAACAAAATATAAAAAACAAAAACAAACAATCAAACCAAACAGTCCCTAACTTACTTATCCAAATTAAGCAGGGAATCCCATGATGGTTGTCTTAGGTCCAAATTTCCAAAGGAAAAAAAAAAAAGAGAAAAGGTCCACTTTTTGAAAAGCATTAGAAGGCTAACCTATAAAGAATGGAATAGGACATAACCCCAACACCAAGGCAAAACTTTTCTTCTTGGCCAATCTGCTACAAACCAATGTGCATAAAAGTGAAAATAGAAAAGCTAATAAAAATTATGCGCACTGCACTAAAAAAAATCTAGTCATTTCCTTTCTATCTAAATCTTTTACTTTTCAGTCGCTATTATTTTCTATGAATTATTTGCCTTCAAATTCCAGCTCTAAAGTTGTTTTTTAATCCACAGCTTACATGTGCTCTATTACAAAAATTATCCAATATCCAATCTTCAAGCCTATTTCAATTTGGCAAGCATCATTACTTCACTTGCTTATTGATTAGGTTTTCATCTTTAACATTTATACTTTAAGATCAACTGGCTGCTCTTTTTTTTTTTTTTTTTTTGATTTATGCACAAAGAAAAAACTGACCCATTTTGGATTTTTTTTTTTTTTTTTTTTTTTATTTATGCACAAGAAAACTGACCCATTTTGGATAAATAGTCCAAATTGATCTTTTGGTCATAAATTTAATTCAATTTTGATTAATTTTATGTTCCGAACAAGTTCAGGTAACAAATTGAGCGACGCAATTTTCTATTTTATACAAAAATGTTATAAACATAATAAATATACTTGTTTTTTTTACTAGAGGAAACTGAGTGAAGCATGTAAGTTTCAGCCTGCAGGCCTCAGCTTTTCTTGAACATCAGTAATAATTAAAAAGGGAATCTCAATACCTTCTACGCGGTTTAGGTTTCAATATAAACAGGAAGAAAGACTATTTTCAGAATACCTTTTGGTTTCTCAACTAAATGGGTATCACTGGAGAATTAGTTAGAAGTGTCTTCTCAAGAAACCGCTCTGTTACAACAACAACTACTCATGAAAGCTATACTAACAATGTAAGTGTTGTTTCTCTTCAACTTTCAAATGCAAAAAATGGTGTCATTTTTCCAATTCTCTGGTTCTTTAATACTATCTAGATCAATTGATGCAGGCAAGAAGTTATGGAGGTGGTGATAAGAGAAGATGGATTTCTGTTAGATCATATCTCTGTGGAGATGAGTTTAATTCAGTTCTTGCAGAGGAAGATTCTGCTTCTGTAAAAAGCTCTGAGGCTACAGTTACACAGCCTTTAATGGAGGACTGGACAAGTCGAGTAGACAGTAGTAGAGAAGATGTTTCAGAAGAAAAATATAATTCAACTTCTAATTTGTTCAGACAAGAAGATGCAGCGATCATCATCCAAACAGCATTCAAGAAATTTCTGGTTTGTTTCAATCATAAATAGATTTTGCAGGAAAATGACTTTGTACATAGCTTCTGCTTGGTATTGATAAATTTTAAGTATGGAAGCTATTTATATTATATTGAATTCCATAAAACTGTATTTTTGTGATGGAATTTCAGGCAAGACGTCGAAATGAAGAAAACAAAGACATGGATAGTAAGGAGGAGGATGTTGTTAAAGCAATGGAAAGTAGTCCAAGTAGAGATTCTATAGGCACATCAATGGAAGTTCAAACTGGAAATTCTGTGGAAGTTTTGTCAGTTGGAGAGGAAAGTGTGAATGTCAACCATCGAATGCCAAAGAAAGCAACATCTCAGGTTCTGAAGATAAAGGTGAAGCCTGAAATTCAGTAAAGGTTGTGCCTTATTGCTATATAGATTACAGCAAATGCCATTTTTGTTTATAGTATTTAAATCATTACAGGAAGACTGGGATGATAGCACTGTGAGTAGCAATATAATAAAAATGAGGATTCAGAACAGACTGGAAGCAACAAATCGGCGAGAAAGGGCATTGGCATATGCTTTTGCACAACAGGTATGATTCAGTTAGTAACATCCTCCCTGTAATAAGAGCAGAAAGTTTCAGAATTCTGATGCTCCTACTTTATCCAATATGTGTATAGCTAAGAATCTGTTCAAAGAGGAAACAAAGCAGATCAGATAACATGGGTTGGAGCTGGCTAGAAAGATGGATGGCAACCAGAATTCCAGAATGTTCAGTTGAAAGTCGAACGAATAAGCAATTTAGTGCCATAAGCAGCAATCATAGAGTAATCACAGCTAAGAAGAGATTTTTTGACGTAGCAGAAGAAAAAGAGAGTTGTGGCTCAAATGATGTGTCTCTCCAATTTGATAGCATATCAGTGACTGCAACAAATAACAATGAGGGTTTGAAAACAAACACCAGAAATCGGATTAAGCCTGCAAGAACCATATCTCGGCGAAAAACAGCGCCAAGTAACCACTGCCCGAAAGAGCATAGTAAAGTAAGAACCAACTGATATGAATACCTGCATTTTGCAGCTAAGCTGCTTCTATTTATGTTCCTTTTTTTTTTTTTTTTTTCTGCTTCATTTATGTTCCTTTTTTTTTTTTTTTTGATTCATTATTGTATTGCGCAAAGTTATTTACCTTTTTTTTTTTTTTTTGATTCATTATGTATTGCGCAACAGGTAACCAAGAAATAGTAAAGCGAGCAATATAAAGAGCAAACAAGCATAAGAAAAGAAATCAGAATATCTTTGAAGCTACTGATAGGGTTTAGCTCATTGTGTGATTTCTGTAAGTTACTACATGGTTGTCCATTCATGAATAATGTAAGGTTTGAAAGTTTTACTTGTATATGTAAGTTTTCAAAGTCGTTTTGTGAAATAGACAAAGTCCTTTAGAATCATGAATTGGCAAGCAAATATGCAATTTACTTGAATGCCAAGGAAAATATACTAGCATTTTCCAGTGCCAGTAACAGATCAAAACATTAAAATCAACAAGAGTACAAGAATAAAAAAACAAATAACACAAACAGCAACCTCTCAAGCTCATGCTTATTGCATATATTATATCAGCTGTTAATTATATTTTTCCAACCATTATATCAAAAAGCACTTACTGGACACCCTAGATTCAGCAATTTCAGTGATTGGAATTTCAACCGACAAACACTAATCCAACCACTGAACCAAACGGAGCGTATTAAAACAAGCTGATCCCAGTACAAAGATACCGGTTAGAACCTTGTTTTCTGCTAACAATGTGTTATACCAATTACAAAAGAAAGAAGCTATGAGTCTCCATGGGACAAATCCATTAAAACCAACATATAAGACATTAGCCAAGCAAACCCACATCAAGCAATCTATATTATGCTGTTAGTGTAAACCATAGAAGTAGTAAAATTCACAAGAACAAGGACGTAGTTTTTTCACAGGGAGACCCATAATCCTTGTTTTGTATTTGGTGCTACACATCGTTAACTGAAAATAAGTTTCTAAACAGTAAAAGACATTGGGCAAGCAGCTCCACATCAGCACTCGGTAGTATGCTATTAGTGTCAACCATAGAAATAGTAGAATTCACAAGAACAAGGACATATAGAAAGATTAAAAGGGTAGCAAGTATTACATGAAATATGACCAGTTTATCTCTTAAATTCAATTTATAAAGCACAAACCCTTCTCAGGCTCTTATAATACCATTACCAACTCTAGAGAACTCTCTCTTCATGACTAAACATAAAGTAGAAAGAAAGACAGTTCTCAAACTCTAGATCTTATCAATATCTTCATCTTCAAACTCAACATAATCATCACCAGCACCATCATCTTCTTCATCAAGGCCTCCAGCAATACCCTCATTGAGACGTGTGTTCTCAGGAAGTTCACCATAGGCCTTTAGAAGCCTAGCTTCATCTGGCATGTACTTCAAGATAACATCAGCCTTGTCATCCTGATAGTCACGCAACCCAACCAGTATTATATCACCAGCCGCAATCCAGACCTTCTTGTGCATCTTCCCGCGAATATGGCATAAACGCTTGGTACCATCGATACACATGGCTTCACATCGGCCATTACCAAGCATACGAAGCACTTGGGCATACTCCTGTCCATCTTCTTTAAAGATGAGCTCACGCTTCTCGTCGTCTGCTTCGTTCTTTCCTCTCTTCCTATTCTTTCCTCCCTTTCCCTTATTCTTCGGCATGGTTTCTTATTCTGTCGCCATAGCATAATATCTAATCAGTTACATATTTTGACACACAACTGCAAATTGAAATCCCTGATTTCATTCAAGACAAGTAATTACTGCACATAGATATCCTCAAGAATCAAGTTTTCTTTGCAAAATTCAATTTCTACCTCCAACCCACAACCCAAAAAAACCAAAAAATAGGGAATAATCAAGTTAGCATAAATTTATAAACAGTTCAATAAAAAGAATCAGGTAAAATACAACAAGAAGAAGAATGATCATACTTTGTTCAAAGAATTAGGTTTATATAATATTATTTCAAAGAAAAAAAATAACTCCAAAAAATTTTCAAGAATTACCATTTATCGAACTAAATACAAAAATTAATTAGCGAAGAAAAACACCAATCAACGGTCGAAATTAGAACTATTTCCAGATCAAAAAACAAATAAATAAAAATCGAATCAAAAACTAAAACCTAACGATAAAGTCGCACAATCGTATTAATCAGGCAGATAAGATGACCAATCGATAAAGCAACCACAGAGACAAACAAAAACCAAAATATTGAATACAAACCTAAATTTGTGGCCCAAAATTAACTCCGATGATGAAAATTAAGCAGAGCAAAGAATCGAAAAATCAAAAAGTCAAAAAAGAAAGTGAAAAAAAAATAAAAGAAAATACCTTTGCGGTCTGTGGCGTAGAAGAAACGGAGCTGGTAGAAGATCAATCACTGATTATGCAAGTTCCAGCCCTAGCGTTTTTTTGTACACAACCAAAATGAAGATATTCGGGTCAAGTTGATGTAACTCACGTGCTAAGCGGCCCAACTTCTTACATATGGGCCCATTGATCCGATATCTTATCGGCTCAGTCAAAATTCAACAGTAATCTTCTTCTTTTTTTTTTCTGGAAAGGTAGATAGTAATATTTTTTTTAATAAATATTTTTTATATAGTGTAAATATCTTTTTTTTATAATTATATTATTCTGAAACAGATATAAGTCTATTTTTATTGAAAAGCAAGTATATATTTATCAGAAATTTTATGGCACACGAATATATTTTACGGTGCTATAATTTATAAAGTTCATTTGGGCAATTTCATAAAGAAAGGGTAATAATATTTATTTGTTATAATTATTGACGCAAAGCATCAAATCTGAGACATTTTTTTTATTTAATCATCCGGGGTTGAAAGTTCAATAGCGCAAAGGGCTCTCTCCCGAGTATTTGAAGGGATAAAGAATATCTGTCATCTCATCTCACTCCTTGTAGGTAAACTTGAGACATATTGATCTCAACATATCAACCCTAGCGAAACATATTTAAATAAATTAAAAGGATGGTTTGATATACTTAGAGATGGTAGCAAGTCGAATGCCCGTTTAAAATGCATTATCCAAATCTGATTAAAAATTAAGTACTCGAACCTGTTAGAAATTCACTTTTTTTTTTTTAGAAGAAATCAAACTAGAAATTTCATTAAGAGGAAACTATATACAGATGTGGAATTTTTTTTAGAAGAAATCAAACTAGAAATTTCATTAAGAGGAAACTATATACAGATGTGGAATATATATCAATATATTTCTATATTTTTGTATATGAAGTTTAATAATAAACCACTTATACAAAGAATTAAAAAACATAATCTTGACTTGAATTATCTGATTGAGTTGACGGAGTATAATATTTGTGCCATCGGCGATCGCTTGCTCCACTTGGTGGCTATTCATAGTCATTATTCGACTCCATGGTTATTCTACCATTATGGTGATTTTGTCCAGCGTCTTTTGTTAGAAATTCACTTTTAATATTAAAATCCGATTATAATTACCTTTTTAAATATCCGAACTGATTTAATATTAAAAATACTTTGTATTTTTATTTTTTAAAAATAAAAAGTAAGTAAAAATTATAAAATTATTATTTTCACTTAATAAAAAATATAATACAAATATTAAAAACTTATAATTAACAAGATAATTAGATATAATAATAGCATTAAATTATATATGTATTATATATAAATGTGGAAATAGTGAGGAAAAAATAATGGAACATTTCAATTTTTCATCCTTTAAATAAAAATTTGAAACTCATTCTTAAAAAAATAACCTTAGTCTGTAACCAATCAAAAAATTATATTTGCATATTTCATATACCAATGCATATTTGGATTTAGGGTTTCGACATTCGTTCTTTTCTTTTTAAGTTGACGGTCGAATGCCGGTTTCAATCTTCTATGGATGAGTAAATACCGTCTGAGAGCATTTTTACCTCTTTTAGGTGCCCGAGTCCGGTGCGCAGCCTATTGGCATTTAAGCTTTTTGAGCCTGCTTTGGACACATGACTACCTGTGGTGTTAATGTACATAAAAAAAATCATTTAATACTTTTATTAATTTGATTGGACTCAGTAATCTTCCTTAAAAATTAATTTTTTAATAAATAGTATTAATATAAGATAATAAGCAACAAAGTTAAAAAATAATAGTACTATTTCTTTTCTCATACTGTCTTACTTATTAGGAAAAATTGCAAGGGTTCTCATTTGTGTGAGGTATAGAACATTTTTTTGGATATAATATGTTTTACTTTAAATGAATTAACTTATTTGATTTATTTATTTATTTTAAATTCTGTTAACTTAGTAAAAAATTATGAGAAAACCAAATTTAGATACCTAGCCATAATCCATTTTGGATGGTGGAATTTTGCGAGGGGGTTTAGTTAAACTCCGGCTATAAATCTTGTTCTTTTTTTTCTATCAACATCAAATTTTATTTAAATATGCTAGTATTTTTAGTATTAAAGAACGATGCTTAAATTTTGAGAATTTCAAAATTGATTAATTTTTTTTTAATATAATTTATTTTTTTATCGTTATACTGTTTGAGTCCGAAAGAGTTTATATCTCTCTACATAAATAATTCTTTTTTCTATTTTCTGTTTCATCACTTTATTTTTTTTTATTTTCTCTTTTCTTTTTTTTTTTTTTTTTTTTTTTTTTTTTTTTTTTTTCTTTTTTTTTTTACTTTTAAAGTTAAAAGATTTATATCTCCCTTATTGTCCAATACAATTAAATATAACCTCTTCAAATAAGTTAAAACATTTTAAACTTTTTTAAGCTTTTTTATCATTATTTCTTTAAATGCTTTGGACTTAAAAGGAAATCAGTGTTTATTTAAAATGAAAAAAAAAATTGTAACTGATTATATATTCTGTTTTGCGGTGTATATCAAAATTTGTGTATTATATTGCTCACTATAATTCCATTTCTCTAATGTACTTCTGGTAAGTAGTAATGTCACCTATAGCCAAACAGTCAATTATCTATTTTATCAATTCAGATCATCCTTTGCTCGTTTCTTTTTTCAATCAGTTATTAAAAAACTTTATTATTATTATTTCATTATAGTTTGTACGTAGATATTGATATTAAGAGGACAGAGTTGAAAAATTGATGTTGCATGAACTTTGATTCTTCTTGGCTTGGATCATTCTATTACAGGTTCTTAATAATCTCGCATTTATCAAATACTTAGAGAACTAAAGGATTAGATCTAAGATATTGGGTTAAATTTTGATATTTTGAGACCATTTCATCTTAGTAAATAAATAATAGTAATTACATATACATAAGATATCGCACATCAATTACCAAGGTAGCTCTGTATGACAAGCGTTCTCAATACAAATGACAGCAATTCTGCTTATTCTATTTAATCTAAATAAAAACTTAAGAATTTAATATTTATATATTATAAAAAAATTAAAGAGTACAAATAATATAATAAGCTATAATCAACGTGCCAAGGCCACTATCATAAAAAAGAATTACGGTAAATCTTAGAAAAGTGTAGAGAGTTATAATTCTTTTTAGAAAAAAAATATTTATTTTAAATATCTTTAGAATATTAATTAACGGACAACTAGGTACGGTTATTATTCGCATGTATTTATTTTAATCTAAATAAAAACTTAAGATTTAATATTATATATATAAAAAAATTAAAAGAGTACAAATATATAATAAGCATAATCAACGTGCAAGGCACATCATAAAAAAGAATAGTAATTAGAAAAGTGTAGATATATAATTTCTTTTTAGAAAAAAAATATTTATTTTAAATATTTTAGAATATTAATTAAACGGACAATAGGTAGTTATTATTCGAGTCCTTGAACCTAAACTCAGTACAAAATAGTAAACATACTATCCAAATTCGTCCTAACCCGTTTATTCACTATTTGAACCTGCTAAAATTGGGTCAGATCAGATCGGATTCGCTAAATCAGTTAAAATTGTCATCACTGCATGTACTCTATTTTTTTCAAAATTTTTGCTAATGTCTTTGTATTTGGTTATTATTATTATTATTTTAGTAGAAACAAGAAGACAAAAGCCTTAACCACATAACAACCCAATATAAGCTATTGCAATAGCAACATGAGTAATCCTATTAAGAAGACCTTAAGGCATTGATCAACTATATGGCACTTCATAGGGCAATCTTTCACCATTGCTGCCATCCAATCCATGTTGCTATTGACTTCTGGATAGACATGCGAAAGCTGGGCATTCTCATTCTCTTGCAAGAAGAGCCTGATGATGCTGACTAAAGGGTTAACACTGCTAGGAATTGAAAACTTCCCCTTAATCATTTGCACAACCAAAGAACTATCATTCTCTATGAGAAGAGAAATGATTCCATAGGATTTAGCGAAAAATTAATGCTATGAACAATAGCCAAGTTCAGGATGTGGGACTGAACAAGCTCCAAGAATGGCTGTAAACCCTTTAACCAATCGAGCACTGCTATCTCAAAGGAAACCCTCCGGCAAAAGCTCTTCCATGCTTGACCGAACCCAGTATTCAACTTAAAGAAATTTTCAAACAGAGGAACCCAGTTGATCGAAAGATTGTCTCTTGCTGAGGCTGTCACTAAAATGGAGGGCATGAACTTGTGAATCTTTCGAAACCTCATAGGTACATCCTTTAATAAAACTATCCAGGGACTTGACAGATTGTGTATCATCCGCAAAAAGAACCTTATTCTGCCTCCCCATATCCGACATGTGATATGGAAAAGCAAAGACGAGTTGATTTCATTATCATATGACTGATTAAAACTTAAGGTTTCTTAGTAACCAATCAAGAGAAGAAACATTAGCATACCAAAAATTTGTCAAAGATAGGTTAAAGGATAACCATACTTCTTTTGCAATCCAGAAGCACATGAAGGATTGACTCATTATTACCAAAACATAAATCACAAGCTGGGGTTGTATAAAGATGTTCCCAAAACTGCTCTTGATTAGTTAAAATCCGATCTTTTAAAATTAACCAAAGAAACATCTGAATCCTCCGAGGACCTGACCATTTCCACAAATAAGCCTAGGCACCATCTTGCTTTATGTGACCTTCTTGAATAAGAGATCCATATGCAGATTCAATAGTGAACCACCCTGAGCTAGAGAATTGGCAGAAGGGAATATCTTCACCTTGCCTAGGTTTAGGCAGCAAGATAGTTACAATATTAACAAGAGTAGAAGCAAACAAAAAGTTTCCAATAAGATCCCAATTCCAAGTTCGAGTCAACATGACATATTTGTTAACTGAATTATTAAGTAATTCATATGGAATAAAATGTGTAACAATGTCATTAAGGACTACATCAGCAGCCACCTATCTATCAAGCCAAAACTGACTCTCTCCATTACCAATCAGGCAAGAAACTCTCGCAAGAAGATCCTCCCATATATCATAAATTCCATGCCAGAGAAGGGAGTCCTCGATACGATTAACAAGCTCAGGGAAAGGATAACT